GACGTATAGGAAGAGAGAAAGTGAGAGAAAAGTGTGTGTATTTGTGCTGGCAGGATCTGTGCGTACAGTGAGGCAGACGTCCACCCTGGGACGGTGAGCCATCGATCGGGCTGCAGGAAGAGGCCTATTATCTCCAGCCATGGTTCAAGCGGGGGAGTCAAGTGTGTCATATGTGCAGGCTCTAATTGGCAACCTCTCCTGGTGGAGGCTGAGCTGAGGTGAAGGCAGAGCTGCAGTGATCCAAACGGCCCTCACCTCCGAGAAATGCTACAATGTAATGTTCAAGTTTTCAAAGCTGCTGTTTTCCCCCCACATTAGCAGAGGCATGAAATCCATGTAAACAAGTGGGATTTTAATGGTCTTCTTAGAAAATGACAGCACACTGGGTGGCCGAGTGACTTCACAGGAGAGTCTGCCTTGTTGTTGCAGCTTAGAAGCAACTTTAATGAACAGGTTTGTGTGGCTCTGGTTGCGTTATTTAAATCCACTGCTGTTTATTCTAACCTTTGTTACCTAGCTCTGTCCTTTGGGTCATTATTTTTTGTATTGTTCTTCACGTAGTCTTTCTCCCTCCACTTGAGCGCTTGTGTAGCCTGCTACTGCCCTCTGCAGGTCATAAAGAGAAAAGATTTGCAACACAAAGACGCATCAAAATATAGCATATAGGTCTTAAAATTCAAGAATAAAATGTTTTTATATTTCTATTCCACAATATGCCAATGTGTAAAAAACAATCTTGAACAATTATTTATTGGATTAGGCTAAAATCTTTTTCTTTTTTTTAAATCTGGATGAAATATTTACACTTTTAACAAAACAGTTAAAAGAGAGTGTTCTTAGCTTTGAAAGCTTTAATATGATTTAAAGAAAATGTCGTTTATATATATTTTGCTCTAGTTGAGTGAGGCTTAGAAAATTAAGGAGATATCAAATGTTTCATCAAAAGATTTTAGGCAGATAAAATAAAATATACTTGAAGTTTGAGCAATTTATAAATGGACCCAAATAAACTCAAACTGGAAGTGTTGCTCGGGAGTTTATCCAGGGTACAGAACTGGTAATTTTCTACTCTGCAAGTTTTACCATCATAAACCTACCAATAAACATACATTTTTACTTTTTGAATGTTGCAATTTATTCTGAATTTGTGTTGATAACTGTGACCCAAGTTATGAGCATTTTAAAGATACTGAGAGTACCTTGCAAATTTTATTACTTGCGAGATGATTGCTTTTTTTTCATATTATACATGCAAAAAGTTATATTTGTGCTTTGTGATGCACTTTGGGAGTTTACAATAATTGGGTGCCTAATTAAGAGTCTGTTATAGATTGCCCACGCTGATAATGGATTTCCTGTCAGCTGAATTATGATCCTAAACTCGGCAAGTGTTGTGTTGTTAGCTTTCCTGTGGCTATTGCTGTCAAGTTTATGTTCTATCTGAATAAATTTGCAAAATAACATGCACTGATAAATTATCATCAAGAGTGCAAGATTGCGATTTTCACTACTTTCTCTACATATTTTCCTTGGAAAATATGTAGAGGTGAGTTAAAGATGTGACAAAGTAGAGTTAGCCAGGTCTGTTTCAGAACCACACCACTTTAAATATTTGTATGGGCTTGATTTGTTAAATATTAAACAAGAGTAATACGTATTTCTTTTTTAAAAAAAACTTAAGAATCTATTTCACCGCCTTCTTCTTCGTTCTTCAGTCTTTAGGTTTGTCAGATGGATGCGTTCTGCCTGAGAAACATGCAGGTGACCTTTTGTCGCCCAGCAACCACCACAGCTGAGCACGGGCATAATTTGGAGGTGTGCCTTACAACACTGGACAGCCCATGTGCTTACCAAATTCTTTGCGCGAGGGATTTTAGCATGTTGTCACATCTTCAACAAAGAAATCATACAGTTGCATACCAGCCAAAGAGAATGCCTCCATTGCCCTCCTGTGCCTTACAACCCTCATATGTCCTTACAGTGATAATAAACCACATTTACCTCCCTGTAGAAGTGCAGTGCTGCACAGAACTCTTCATTTTTGTGTATCCTTATACTCTTGGCAAAACCTTTCCAAGGCCCTGCAAAGATCACGTATCAGATTTTTGCCATCATGGTGCAGCACTTTATCAGGTGAAGGGAGCCTCAAAGAATGACGTAATGGCTGAACCCAACAAAAGTTTGACAGGAAAAAAGAAAATGTTTGCTAGAAATTAAATTCTCTATTTATTGAAAATTATTGTTGATAAACATGTTTTCCCAGGTCCTTTACCACTGCTAGCAAGAGCTAGCATAACAACCAGGTAGAGGTTTATTCTGCCCCCTTCCAACCATTCATCATTAATAGTGTTACCGTCTGCCTGGTGAGCCTGACAGCTACCAGGTTGTTTCTTATTTCCCGATCAGTGGGGCTCCCAGCCACCTGTGTGTTCAGAGGAACATTGTATCATGACCTGACTCAAGCTTCTGAAACACTGCAGGGCTCCTTCCCTATTATCGCCTCAGTGGGGCCGTGCATGAACAAGCTTTTGAAATTCAGAATGCCGTTTCATCGCATCCTGGTCCGACAGATATTCTTCTGTAATTCAAAGATGGTAAAGCCATGCACTTCACACAGGCTCCTTCCACAAGTCTTCGTCTTTAATAAAAACGGGGTCTCAGGTTGTTGGTAATGCCTGTAAATCTGTAGCAATGATTGGCCTACAGTTGCAGAGAGGGACTAATAAAATAATTTGATTAAAAGAGAAAATAATAATAAACAAAAACCTAATAATAAAAATAAGTACGTGAAATAAAAATAAAACATCACAACAGAAAAATTACAGCATCAAGCCTCAATTAAATGCCATTGAATGAAAATAAGAAGCGATATAAAAATTTTGCCAGATTTCTCAGAGTTAAAGTGATTGCTGCCAGCAGTGGGCAGCAGAGCTCTGCTTCTGAAGCTGAAACTTTCTGGAGCCGGATTTAAATTGGCTCAACTACAAATATCCTCTTTGGGCCATGCATTGCTCATGAGAAACAAACTTTAACCTACTTTAAAGAACTGCTTTCTGCACTGTTCTGCTTTGTCAGATGCATGCGTGCGCTCCTGCCAGAGCCAGCTGCAAATCCGTGAGGGGCGGGTTGAAAGACGTGAAAAATCAGGACAGCTTCTGCTGCCAACTGCATCGCCTCTGACGGACAGAGGCAGGTGCTGTAAAATCAGGCTTTTATACCAAAACTCTCTCACACTGTCATCTAAGCACACTGACACATGCAAGCATTGCAGATGCCCACTCAGCATGCATGCATCCTTCCAGCATGCAGCAAATTTACTGCTCTGAATAGTATGTTCAACTTTGACATTTGCTTTTCAAATTACTGCCTACAATGCCTCTTAATGTTACTCTCTGCTTGTGCTATTAGATCAATCTGTTAGTCTAAAGATCAGTGTAGACCCTGCAGCAAAACTTGCTAAGGAGATACAGGGAAACATATCAGAACTACACTATCTCCATTCATCTTTTCTGTAATGTCACATATTTTTTTTGTTTATGTCCGGCAGCCCTTTTGTTCAGCAGAACTGGTTTCCCCAAACACTTGGACGGCATCGATCATGGACGTCCTTCCGTCACATTTTAGGCATTGCTGGAATAGCAGACTCGTCTTTGACGTGCTCTCCTGTGGAGCGCCATAGATCTTCATCTTCACTCTCTGACAACACGGTTTAAAATGGCAGAAGATCAAACGGTTCTGGCTGAATGTTGCGAAAGAACAAGTGCACAACATGCTAAGTAGAAAGTTTGCACGGGGAGACTCGCCGTACTCCTGAATTTCTCAAAATTGTCTCACAAACGCCTCAAAAATCTTAACACTTGTGGAGGAATAGCTGATCAAAGGCAATCTTCGTCTTGGCAAACCTGTCATGATTGACTAATTGAGGATTGTCATTCAATGCGTCTTGCCACATCTACCAGTCCCAGTAACACGCCATGTCTCAGTATGTAGGCACTCACTCCAGCATAGCTACATGTTGAATCCTCACACTTCCTGCCTCCTCTTTCGCCTCCATCATCATATTCTTCCATTATGACCTTACAGGATCCAGTTTGATTTTCTCACTCTCTCTCTCTCCACTTCGCAGTCTAAGGTAAATGACAGAAGGAGGAAAGAGTGGTATGTAATATGTAATGATGGATGCTGGTGGCCAAATAGGAAATAAAGGCAACTACTGTACAGTAAACATGGTTTTTTCATTCATAACATTATCATGTTTTTCAACCATTAATAAGCTGCTGCTGGCTTTAATTCCACCACGATCATTCATTACTAAACACCAGTTTTGATAGCAGATATTTTTATTTGTAATGTCTAATTTCGTCAGTGTTTTATATATTTTTGAAAGGGGCTTATTTATTTATTTTTATCAGTCTTAAAGATGTATTGCTATTGTTGAATCAAGGTTTTTTTTTTAGAAGTGTATCCACCCTGTGCAGTTTTTTGTCGTTAGTTTTTGAAAAGTGACCCGTGCTCTCAACTCATGAATGAAAACAATGTGGTGTTGTTTTGATCTTCTGAGGTGCTGAATATTTTTAGGCTTTAAGACAGATCCAGACCATCTGTTTCCCTGTTCCAACTCAAAGCTGCGCTCCCTTCTTGCTACTGTGTGTGGCTCTCTGTTGCCCAAACGCAACACGGTTATTAACCTCTGGTATTAATGCCTCCATCCAAATCTGGGAAAGAAATTCATTTGACCCTACTCCTAAATTGTTGAATTATACTTTTTATCTAGTTTGACGTATTTGTAAGTAGCAGACAAAAAAAAAAAATGTTGCTTGAAAGAAAGACAAAAGTTAAAATGCAGACTCGGACTCGCATCATTCTTTCGACTTATTTTTAATCCCACTCTTTGCCTTCTTGTCTCGCTTTTTAGAAAAAAATTAACATCCTCGTTCGCCGTTTCCTGTCTTCATTGCCAGCAGCTGCTCCACTTCTCTCTTCATGCCTCTCTCTCTCTTTCTCTTCCATCAGGCCTGTGAGTGACAGCACATGTGCTGGGGTTCATTGGAGGCCTGCTGCTGAAATTCTAACCCCTTTTACCCCACGACTGTGAGACATACCCCAGCTATGGACAGGGTGGAGCTGTTGGAGACAGATGCTGGGAGAGGGAAGGAAGGACAGACTTGCAACGGTGGAAGGACAGAGAGGGAAAGACAGAGAACGGTTTGGAAATTGACCTGTTTTGGCCAGTTGTTTTTTTTTTTTTGTGAAGTAAAGCCACAGAGGAGGCTAAGATCTGGCTGTGGTCAGAGGTCTGTGTAGACTGAGGTTCTAAGACCTGGTTTTGAGGATGGCTTTGTGGAGGTTGATGAGCTGCTTGCTGAGTCTGCTGGTCTGTCAGGTAAGAAAAACAAACATCTCTTGTGAATCCTCTGTAAATAAAAATGAACGGAATGTGATCATTTGTAAAAAGTTTCAGTGTTGGTCTTCGTGTATAGATTCAAAGGATAAAACGCCTTTAAACTTTGGTGTTTCTCCCTTTTTAAATTGTTTTCTTGACCTTAAAGCTCAGCTGTTTGAGCTAGGAGAAAGACATATGCCTTCTGACTTTCTTAGTGCAATGAATCATCAGAACAAGTCTCAGGATATAGCAGTTGGCATTACTTTGCTTTCTGTGAATATAAGCCATTTGCACTTTAGCTGCACCATTTGAAGCGACTGCCCTCTCCTTCCCCTGCTTTCAGCTTCCTGTTTCTGCAGAGCATGATCTTGTTTAAAGAACAACCTCTTGCTGCCCCGCTCCTGAGATATACAATTTATGTTTTATACCTGAATGATGTCCTCAATTGAACATCTACTTATTTTCATCAATGGAGGCGAGACGCCGGCTCTGCAATCAGAGCATTCGGCTGAGCTAAACATTTCATCCACGCCGGAGAGGGGATGATGAAGTGTTCTGAAGAAGACGAGACCCCAGATGTGTTCAGAGAGGACTCGGGGCATCCTGCGTCTGCAGACGCCAGCGTGACATTTCCAAATGGATGACGAAGTAAACTGTCTTATTTCCAACGACACATCCAAATACCATCAGTCTTTTCGTTCTGTTTGGATCAGTAATTCAGCCCAGGTTGAGCAGACGGGTGAATTGGCCTCCGACGACTCTTGAGGGGGAGTGCTATGATCCGTGCATGTCGGAGTGGCTGTGCAAGTGACTCACGTCTTCTCAGTTACCGAATTTTGCTTCTGCCTGCTAACTGTTCCTGCAGCTTTCCAGGGAGCGATTGATTGAAAGGTCACCGAAAACAGATGGTTCTTTTGTTGTCCACAGTTTTGACTCATTGTGGAGAATAAAGCACTTTTTTTAAAAAAAAAAAACTATTGTGACAGATTAGTGACACATGTTTCCGAACTTCAGTGGAATCCTTATCTGAGGTATGAACAAACAGGTTTTTCAGTCCTAAATCAGGATTTTTAACTTGCTCCCTCCAAGTTGAGTTCGTGTGCCAAACCATGTACTTCATTCAAAAACTGAAGAGGACATTTCAGAACTGTTTTCAAGGTTTTTCTGAGTGGGTTTCAATATCATTAAATTTCTATTTTTATCTTTAGTAAAAATGAATTCATCACTGATCACAAAGTATGATGTAAATAATCTAATCTAAAATATATTTGTAGTATGATCTAAGTTTGTCCAGATGTAAAACAAAAACAAAAAAAAAGTGAAATGGCTCTGTTCCACAATGCTGAATATGAAAAAGCTTCAGTACTGTTATTTTACAATTTTTGGAAAAAGACCATAAACCCCATCTTAGGGTTTAAAATAAAAAATAATGTTCCCACCTGGATAAGACTGTTCAGTAATATCTTTTCCCTCAGTGTGTCTCAAAGCTTTAAAACTTTTCTTAATTTCTTTATTATCTTCTTCCAGGCAGTCAAACCTCCTTGTGAACCTTTAAAGTGTTTTCAATACATTATTCTTCTTCCTTTCTGGACATCTTTTAGATTTTTCTTTGAACTGTGGCTGTTTTGATATTCATGGCAAGATTTTGTGGGGTCTGAGTTTAAAATTTAAAAAGTGGAAGGAGTCCTACAAAACTGTAGACAGAAAATAGTTTCTGTATATAGAGGGTGCAGCAGTGACCAGTTGTCCCTTTTAGAAAGAGGGGAAAAATCCAGCAGAGGCCAGACACAGACAGCACTTTTAAGATGACTCATCCTTCAGCTCAGAGGCGATCGGCTCCAGTCCTCCAGGGTCGGTGTCCTGCAGCTTTTAGATGTGCCTCCGGTCCAACAGACCTAAATCAAATGGCTCAGTTGGCTATCAAGTTCTCCGTTTTCCTTCCTGCCAGTGATGTCATTATTTGACTCAGGTGTGTTGAAGTAGACAATAAAGATCCACGCCTTTTCTGATCATCATCATTTTTATCACATTCCCTCTAAAACCTGGAGAGTTAAATGCATCAGCAAACAAAAGTAAATTATCTTTGAAAATACTTTGCCACTGGACTGAAAATGTGTGTGGGGGAGAAAAAAAAAATACAAAAGTTCAAATAAAACTTTAGAAAGATTGTCAGAAACTGTCAGAAACATTCAGCCACACGGCATTCTATTTTCTTTTTACGGTGGATCGTACGTGATGGTGTTGGGCAAAAAAAAAAAAAAAAACATTTTCTCTGCTGCTTCTCTTCTAAAAAATGGCCCAAAAGCCAAAAAAAAAAAAAAAAAAAAAAGTTCTCTAATAAGTTAACGACCAAAATGAAATCCTTGTAGCCATTAACACCTCTCAGTCAAGCTGAGGCTTTCATATGTGTCACCTGATATCTTTTAGTTGTGTTTGAAGCGAGAGGTTCAGGCCTGTTGGGTGTTTGTTGTGGTGGGGAGTGGGCAGAACCCACAGCTGTTGCCAGATGCACACGTGACACCATTTGTGTTGTGCCTCCTTGTGGAAGGACTAGTCATGGGTTACTCCTGGACCATGAAATCAGGTTTCATTCGAAACGAGTCAGTCAGAGAATTTCGAGTCTAAATTTACGCCTCGCCCGTTACCTGCAGACTGTTTTTAACTTCCTAGAGTTTCAGAAGGAGCAAAGGTTACCGAAACTACGTCCGCTTCATGAAATGGGTCACATGAACAAAGCAGTTAATTTCCTTTGCTGTGTGTTACCTCATTGTTTTTTTACAGACTGAGAAATGGAAGACTAGCTGCTCAGTTGATCTGAAGGTCCTGCATTAGAGTAAGCCAGCTGCAAAGTCATGATGGAGTTTCCAGTTGCACCGTTTTTTTTATTTTTATTTTATTTATTTTTTTAATATGTAATCAAACAACTTTCAAGAGCTGTGTGAAAACCCTATTTGGAGTTCCTTGCCTGTGAAAAACTTTGTCTCCTCGTCTCCAGATTTTTCTGAAAAAAACATCTTTTTATTTTATCACACAAAACAAGTTTTACATTTAGCTACTTGTTTCAATCAGTGATTTTTCTCCAACATTGTATTTTGTGCTAACTAATATATATATATATATATATATATATATATATATATAATGTTTTCATTCGAGCAACAAGAGGGGAAGATCTAATCTTCCACTTTTATTCAGTTTAAAGCCATGACCTTGCTCTGCATTCTTGAAGCTCAGACATTTGCTCCATGGTAAATGGACATACTTGTAGAGGGATCATAAATAGAATGCTCCGCTCATTGCAAGCTAACATGACTTAGCAAAGAGTATGTTTGTGGGGCCCTCAGAGAATGACAGACTGGCTTAATGTGTGGCTGAGGAGCTGGCTGGCTTCTGCACCTGTCGAACCTTTGGCCTTTGGCCAAGGAGACAGTCTGCCTCTGCTAAGTCATGTAACTGACTCAAGTTGTTGAGTGACTGTTAAATTTGCAGACGAGAGAAAAAGACGCAATGCAGATGCAGCAGAACCTTTTGTTTATGTCTGCAAACTTTAAAAGGCGATGCCATCCTGAAAGCATCATTCAGTAAGCCTTATGTGAGCTTACTGAATGGGGTTTTCATTCAGCAAGATATCCTCAGACATATCATAAAACATATGAGTAATGTTTTGCAGCAGGCTTTTTCATCACTTTAATAATAAAACAGTGTAAATGAAAACCAGGACAGTTTTAAGGTCTTCTCAAGTCTGTATTGTTTGTCAGTTACTCTAATGTAGAAAGAAATAAAAACACAAATCCACCCCACAGCACTCAACAACTACAAACACCCATCCCTACATCATATATTATCCAAAATTATATAAAAAAATACTTTCAACTTTCCAAAATAAGTTCCCCAGCCTTTCCCTCTGCTGCTGTTCAGTGAGTAAATGGCTCATCTTTCTATCGTTGTTCCTGCACTCCTCTATATCTGCCCTGAAAATAGTATTAATGTTCTCTTTGGTGCTCCCGTCAAATATGAATCCTAAATGGTCTTCTGACTTGCTGCTGCCTTGATTATCGTCACCATCTTGATTGCTGCAAACCATAACGCTACATCACATCTGTGTTCCCCTCGCTATGCAGCTGCTCCCCCACTGTGATGTCAGGCAAGTGTTTGGTTTCCATTTTATATTTTTGTTCTGTTTTCTGAAAAGAAAATTTACATCAGAGACGTTTGATAGACTGTCTGTGAATGTCACTTTGGACTACATGTGAACCATATAAACCTGTTTTTTTTTTTCTTATGTAAAACATAAGAAAGTTGTCACTGCACATAAAACTGAAAGTGTTGGGGTGTTTGATTAAAGAGAACCCTACATTATGTGTTCCCCTAAGAGAATGAGATCTCTTAGCTTAATCTGTCTTAATGTTCCTCTCAACACACCACTGGGGAAGTGCGGTCATTCTTGAATTTGGGGAAGATTATCCTGCCAAATAATCCTCCCCTTTTGTTGCTGTGAGACCAAATCATCCCCAAACAAGATGTGGACTCGTCTGGGAGGCAGAGCAGTCAGAGTATCTGGGAAAAGGCTCTGAAACAGTTAACCTGCAGCATGTGGTGTCATCACCCGGCCTGTCAGAAAAAAGACCCTCACTGGTCTAATTGGTAACGTGACACTTTGCTGGTACTGCATCCTTGTCTGGTAAAAGCATTACAACAGTGTGCAGATACTCAGAGGAGCCACTGTGCACAGCACAATGTCATGTTTTCTAAAGTATGGCGCTCTGACAGGAAGTGTGTGAATTTACAAGCTGCCTGTTTGGTACTTTTAGGTGCTTGTAAGCGTTTCTGTTCTCCTTTCTGTGTCTCAAGATCCGGAAAAGCTGGAACTCGTTGTGGCCGTTGTGTATAATGGAAAACCTTTGTCCATTAAACTTGGAAACATGACATATCATAACTCTACTCCAAAATGCTTTATTCTCCTAACAATGTGGTGTATAAAGTTATTTTTTACTGTGCGA